GTGCAGTCTACAAACTGAAATAAGCACATTGTTTGCTTCGTGAATACCGTCCATTATGCGTCTGCCCTGATAAAACTGAACGAAACTTGATAATCCAAATACATGTAAAGGATAGAAACAGAAACACTTTCACAATAAAACACCAATCCTTTATAGCACAACAGTTTTAAAGAGTTTAAAGTTGATATAAATACTGCATACAAAACACACAAGTGGTAAAATATTTACACATTTCTGTTAGCGAATCAATTAAAAAAAATAGAAAAAGTGCTTTTGATTACTCCACTTTGGCATGCCGTCTTAAATAATATTATTCAGCAGGTTTGGGCGTGTTTTTTTTTCAAAGTGCAAACATTTAAAACAAGTTTCTTGTTTCCTCCATGAACTGGAAAGGCACTTTCTTCTTCTTCTTTGGTGATGGAAGAGTCATCAGACTAGGGCAGACCCAACTGCAAAACTGGACAGGACAAGAAATTATATGGCAAAAGTTTAAGTGGAGTTTCTTCTTTCATAGTTATTACATATGAAAATTCATATTTTTCATTTAGCTTCGCAACAAACAAAAAAAAAAGCTATTTCTACTTAAAAGGTCAAAAATAAAGTGAAGGAACACAGAAAGCTTTAACATGTTTTTGGGGTATTTTTGTTGATTTTAGTAATAAATGGTGAAATAATGGATACCTGTATGAGGAAGTCAATCTAAAGGTTTTGGAACTGTAATAACTCCGGCTTCAGGTCTTCTCTGGTGTCATACGAGCTACAGTGTCATGAAATTAAGAATTTGGTTGAGAACTACTGAATTTTGTTAATGTACTGTTAAGTTTAGTAGTTTATCAGACAGTGTTTCGTGCATTTTCAATGAGCATATTAGAAAGTTAAGTGTCTGTAAGTAAAATACACAATATTTTCAATACTTTGTATTTACGAAACATGTAAAGCTTGCACATCAGCATTAAAAAAAGTTAATGGCATTAATGTTTTACTTAATTCTCTGCCTGAACCAGATTGGCTTATAGTTAAATATTAATAAAGATGTAATTCAATCTCAGACTCACTCAGAAAAAGGGCTAAAATGGAAACCACCTTTTTTACTAGCATGATTCTAAATACTTTTATATTTTTAAATACTTTGATTTCATTTGCCCAAAAAGTTTTGTCAAGTTTTCCTGACTGGAACAGACTTCTAACTTTCTACAGTGACTCAAAAAATGGATGATGCTATAATAATGGATAATCTGAGGCTGAAGAGTTTCATGTTAATTTGTTGTTTCAGTGCAAGTTTCATTGGCAGACATCAAAAAGGACAACATGCAACTAACTGGACCGTGCAATCATGCTCTGGGCAAAGTAGCAGGATAAATAACAGGATCATAAACTGTGTGAGGCATGCAACAAGTCAATGAGTTCCTTACCCTTTCCTCCTCTGTTGAAACTTGTATAAAAATAACCCAATTACTATTCCAACTGCAACTAAAAATAGAGAAAGCATTTTTATACATACTGTATTACAACCACAAAAGTGATTTATAAAAATTCCAAAAAATAAAAATGATACATTACCTAATGTAACTAACACTACAGTTAGTGTAAGAGCTACATCTGCTGTAAAAACCAGAGTACAGTTACTGAAAGTGAACAACCAACACTTTGGCTTTCTTCAGCCTGGAACACAGTGGCTCACCATTATTCTTGTTGGTGCTCGTAATCTCAGTATTCCCATCTGCAAGGACATTACACAAACATTAGAGATCAAACAGCTTAAATTACCAAAAATACAAATGAATAAATAAATAAACTGAAGAGAATCAGTCTTCATCAGGAACATCAACACATAATGTTCATTTTAAGGTCGGGACAATTTCATACGGAATATTTCACTTTTTTTTTTGTTTCTGTTTTGTGTATGTCAGGACCGATTTGGATGTCAGCCCAGTCAGATATTGATAAAATACATATTGAATATTAAAAATTAAAACTGCAATCTGAAAGGCAAGCTAGGCCTGTCACAATAACAAATTTTGATGGGCGATTAATTGTCTCAAATTATTGAGATAAACGATAATATTGTTTGAAATTTGACAATAATTAGTAATTATACAGGGGCAGCACGGTGGCGCAACTGGTAGAGCTGCTGCCTCTCAGCGAGCAGGTCCTTGGTTCAAACCCAAGTCCAGGAGCCTTTCTGGGTGGAGTTTGCATGTTCTCTCCGTGCATGCGTGGGTTTTCTCCGGGTGCTCCGGTTTCCTCCCACAGACCAAAAACATGCATGTTAGGCTGATTGGTAACTCTAAATTGTCCCTAGGTGTGAATGAGAGAGTGAATGGTTGTTTGTCTCGTTTGTCTCTATGTGGCCCTGTGATGGACTTGCGACCCGTCCAGGGTGTACCCCGCCCCTCGCACAGTGATTGCTGGATATGGGCACCAGCGACCCCCGTGACCCAAAATGGAATAAGCGGGTAAAGATAATGGATGGATGGATGGATAATTACAATTAATTACGATATTTAAAAAAATATACAATAATTAGTCATTATTGTCAAATTTAAGAAGAAATGTTGGTTAATTTATTTTGAGTGTAGTAACTTTTTTTGACCACCGGATGGTAGTATAAGACAGTTTGAACCGAAGGATGGATAGTGAGGGAGGTGTGACTCTTTAAGAAAAATGGGAGGGAGGCCCCTTGACGTGACATGAACTGTCTCTCTTTCCTTTTTTTTTGTTTCTCAAAATGGCAGATGCTCTGTGTGGTTTGAGCTCTTTAGCATAGTATTTGTCACACAAAGCTTTTATAATTAAAAAAATCAGTAAACAAGTTCTCAGCTTCTTTTTGCAGAGAAAAAAACTTTTTACAAAAAGGCACAGGCTTCAACTGTGAATTTTGGAGCTTAAAACAAGACAAAGTTTTTTTCCCCGAGGTTGGCCTGTTATCTTAGCTTGTCAGCTTAGCTGCTTTTAACGATCGAAAAACACAATTTTGGATGGTTAAAACAGATTTTAAAGAGAAAAGAGAACGGGAAGGGTCAGTGAAGAGCACCGGAGTTGAGCCTTTTGTCATCCAGTGTCCAGTAGAAATAGAGAGACACGAAAAAACAATAAAGACAATGAACGAAAATGAATTCGATAATTTTAATTTATCATGTGATTAAATGTTTTATTGTTTATTGTGACGGGCCTAAGGCAAGCATAGAGCTGTTTATACAGTGATCTGACTCATCGAAAAATACTTATTTAAAACACTTTCAGATAAAACTACATAAGACTACAGTTCAGCTTTGGACAAGCCATCTGGAAAAAGAAAAAAAAAAAACATTGGCAGGAAGGTTTTATTTTAAAGTCAGATGTGTAGAGTGTGTTCATGTTTTCAGTTTCCTGTGACTCAGAAACCCAAAAAATGCAGTGGTAAGGAAAAAACGAATCCCTCAAACTGAATGTAAAATGCACCCAAAAACTAAAAGAACATTTTAAACACTGTGTAATAACTTGCTTTGAGGGAGATTAGAAGTTAATCTATTAGTTCTTAGATGTTAAAGGGGTAACTATATGATTAAACATAATTTAGGCACAGGTAAGCTCTGTATCGTGTCTGGTGGTTTCAGCTGGATACTGACGATGTTAAGTCTGATTCAACATTCACAACACTGTTCCCTGATTTTTAATTCTAGTCCAACATATTGCTGAAATTTCTTAAATTTTCATTGAATTCTCCCCAGTCACCTTTTATAGATATTTTTAATAGCCCTGCTAATACGCAATTACAGTAGTCCCTCACTACTTCACGGTTCGACTTTTGCGGACTCGCCCTTTCACTTTTTTCATTTTTTTTATGATTGTCAACTTTAATATTACTCATGTGATTGGGAAAGTATGGGATAAAAAGTTAATGAAAAAAAATACTTTGGACAGGCGCAGTCATTTTATAGTTTTCTTTCAATAAGCCTATACTGTAAGGCCAGTCAGAGAACTACACTACCCAGAAGCCAACAGTTCTTCTGGACACTGTTTCCTGCCAAAATGGAGGGAAAGTTTTGCAACGCAAATCTAAGCTAGGAAGCTCACAGAACTGGCAGGAAAGTTGTAAATAATCCTGAAGCTCAATAATCCACACGCACATCAACCTGGACGGTGCGGTGGGCTTCGTTGCTGCATGGTAGGTCTGCAGGACCGGAACCGAGCCTGACCAGAACCGAGCTACTGTTCTGCTGCAGAGCTGGTGAGTAAAATTTTGCAATACCATACAGTACATTTATGTATGTTGTTAAAATTACATAGGTTTAAGAGTTTAGAACATTGCAAGTGTGTGGGAAGGGTTTATAAAGTCTTAAAATACTGTAGTCTCTCGATTATCATGGGGGTTTATGTTCCCCTCCACTCCACGTTATAGGAGAAAAACTGAAAACCTTGCATAATCTTGAGTTGCAAAACCTTCCCTCCATTTGGCAGAAAGCAGCGGCTTGAAGAACTGTTGGCTTCTGGGTAATGTAGTTCTTTTGACTGGCGATACAGTATAGGCTTATTGAAAGAAAACTACAAAATGGCAGCGCCTGCCTGAAGTATTTTTATTTTTTCGTGAACTTTTTATCCCATAACGTCCCAATCATGTGCATAATATTAAAGTTGACAATCATTGAAAAACCACGAAAGATCAAGTCGGTGAAAGTCGAACTGCGACGTAGCGAGGGACTATTGTATGTATAAATCCTACTGTTCCTACTTTGCGGTTTTTCACCTAGCACAGGAGTGTGCGGAACATAACCCCTGCAATAATTGAGGGACTACTGTAATAGTAAATGGATATGCATGTCCTTTGGTATCCATTACAGTGTGCTTTAGCACCCTTTGCACCCAAACTTCCAGACAGCCTTGAGGTCAAACAAAAATGAGATGAAAATAAGTTTTGGGGTGGTTTTCAAAGAAATGTTTGGATACCTCCAAATGAAGATGATAAAGCTGACGTTACAGTGGTTGTAGCAGCGTTTTCCTCAGCTGCCATTAAGTATCTTGCACCTTTTAAACAAAATTATCAAAATAATTCTTATTTAAAAAGCTTCAAAAGCTGATGTAGTTTATTTGTGACATGCATGCAGCATCCATGCATATAGTCGTGCTTCAGCATGCTGTTTCTAAAGCTTCCAGGTGAACATGGCTGTGTACCTTGTTCTGATGTTGAGGCAGCTGCAGGTGTGCTGGCTGTGATAGCTGCATCCCTGTGAGCTGCAGGTGTGGTGGACGAAGCCGCAGACGAAAGTGTTTCTGTGATATAGAGCATAACCACTGTTGGCGAGAAATATTGTCATGCACGTAGAAAATAAGAGTGTTTTTAGAGAGAACAATATTAATAAGGCTTTTTAAACAAAATTCTCAGTTTCTTTTGGTTTTGTGTTTTGATTGTTATTTTATACCTGGTTGTGTTGATGTAGGAGCTGAAGTTACCAGTTTTGTTGTAATTTTATCTTCTATTGCCACACCTATGAATAGGGACACTGCTACATTTATCAGAGCTCAAAATTGATACAGTTCATTAGCCTTTAATGAAGCTGGAGGTGGGACATGCATAAACCCTGACATGCAGAATGTGCTCATGACCATCGTGCATCATGCATCTGCTTCCTCATTTACTTCTCGTTATGCACCAAGAAACAGGAGGGAAATTTCTCCTTTTATGTTTCATCCTTTTGTTGATATTCAGAACTCAAACATTGTTGATGGTAATGATAACTGTGAATGGTTATGAAGCAGTCACACTGTTGTGATCCATTTTTCTTCCATACGTTTTTCGGCATCCTTCTCGTTCCACAATTTTTTTGTGCTATTTTAACAAATAATACATCAAACCGTTTAGTTCCTTCAGAGAAAGGTGCTATGACTTTTTGGTATTGGTATAAATTTAGCTTTTTGAAACATTTAGCCGTTTATGTCACTTTTAAATACATAGGAAATGAAATGAGCTCATTTCACATTCTTCAAATCTTTAGATCTGTTTACAACCTTTTAGTGCTGCTTTCACGTTTTGTTCTGTTTCAGCTTCTTTCAGCTTCCTTGTGCAAATTTAAAAAAAAATTCAGCTACTTTCAGCTAATTTCAGCTGTTCTTTCAGCTGTTTTTTGCTCTTTTCAGATTATTTCTGTTATTGTGCTTCTTCTACATTATTTCAGCTAATTTCAATTTATTATGCTCCTTTCAGCTTATTTCTGCTAGTTTCAGCTTTTCTGCTATTTCAGCTTCTATTTAGCTATTTTTATGCTAATTTCAGCATTTTCAGGTAAATCCACATTTTTGGCACTCATTTCAACTTTTTTTCAGACTAATTCAATAAAAATGTGCTCTCTCCACTTCCTTCTGGTAACACAAGCTTCTTTCTGCTTTTTAGCTACTATTCAGCTGTTTTTGTTTTTGCAAATTTCTGCTTTTTCAGATCATTTCCACATTTTTGTGCTTATTTCTGCTTCTTTAAGCCTAATAGGACACAATTGTGCTCTCTCCACTTTCTTCATGGAATTTTAAGCTTCTTCCTGCCTTTTCAGCTACTTTTTAGCTATTTTTTTCTGCTAATTTAAGCTTTTTTTTTAGCTAATTTACAAATTTTTGTGTTCATTTCTGCTTATTTAAATCAAATCTAACAAATAAGTGTTCTTCTTGTTTTCTTCTGCTAACTTAGGTTTGTTCTTCCATCTCAGCATGTTTTAGCTAATTTCAGCAGTTTTTTCAGCAAGTTCTTCAGCAATAAGCATTCACAATGCATCTTCGCAGGAAATGCAGTTTCTCTTGTTATGAGTGTTTAACCAACTTTTTAGGGGAAGTCAAGCCAGCACACTTTTAGGAGGTCATGGGTCAAGAGTGTGCAACAACCTACACAGGGCTAGCATACATGCAGTTAGTGAATAGAAACACGATGTAAAACTTAGTAGATAAAACATAGAAGCTGGTTTTAGAGGCAGGTGTCTCTGGTAAAACCAATTCCTGCTGTACAATATGTGCACTCTCTCACACTAACATTGTACGTTTATAAATACACAGCAAAGTCCCATCCATTCATTTTCTTCCGCTTATTATTTAAAACAAACAAACAAAAAACATTACAAACAAACATACACTTAATACAAAATTCAATATAAAACATTTTCCAATCCATCCATCCATCCATTTTCTTTTGCTTATCTGGGGTCGGGTCGCGGGGGTAGCAGCCTAAGTAGGGAGGCCCAGACTCCCTCTCCCCAGCCACTTGGTCCAGCTCCTCCGGGGGAATCCCGAGGCATTCCCAGGCCAGCCGAAAAACATAGTCCCTCCAGCGTGTCCTGGGTCTTCCTCTGGGTCTCCTCCCGGTGGGACATGTCCGGAACACCTCACCAGGGAGGTGTCCAGGAGGCATCCTAAACAGATGCCCAAGCCACCTCAACTGGCTCCTCTCGATGTGGAGAAGCAGCGGCTCTACTCTGAGTCCCTCCCGGATGATCGAGCTTCTCACCCTATCTCTAAGGAAGAGCCCAGACACCCTGCGGAGAAATCTCATTTCGGCCGCTTGTATCCGAGATCTTGTTCTTTCGGTCACAACCCAAAGCTCATGACCATAGATGAGGGTAGGAACGTAGATCTATCGGTAAATTGAGAGCTTTGCCTTTTGACTCAGCTCTCTCTTCACCATGACAGACCAGTACAGCACCCGCTTCACTGCAGATGCTGCACCTATCCGCCTATTGATCTCACACTCCATTTTTCCCTCATTCGTGAAGAAGACCCCAAGATACTTTGCTAGAACAGTCGTTTCTTATCATATTATTTATGATCATTTTATTTTCATGTCCTCTTCAGTGGAAAAACCCAGAAGAGAATTGTATGATGTATTACAATCTTTAAACCACATACCAAGCTTGCAAAAACTTGTTCCAGTCTGCCCTTCCCTCAAAAACAGACTGTGATTTATTGATAAAAACGTAAAAAACCTGCTCTATACGATCACGCCCATCATTGTTTGAATTGAATAAAAAGGCGTAAAGGGAATGAGCAAGTCGAAGAGAGTCTGGAGAAAGGACGCCTCAGGCTACTCTTCCCTTTGCAAAGAAAATCTCACTCTTTGTGTCCGTGTTCATTTGTTTAAACCTAACATACTTGAACTCCTCCAATTGGGGCAGGACATCCTCCCTGACCCAGAGAGGGCACTCTACCCTTTTCCGGCTCAAGACCATGGCCTCGGATTTGGAAGAACTGATCTTCATCCCAGCTGTGTCACACTCGGCTGCGAACTGCTCCAGCAAAAGCTGTAGATCACAATCTGATGAAGCCAATAGGACCACATCATCTGCAAAAAGCAGAGACGTGATCCTAAGGCCACCAAAACATATCCCCTCAACACATTGGCTGCGCCTAGAAATTATGTCCATAAAAGTTATGAACAGAGTCGGTGACAAAGGGCAACCTTGGCGGAGTCCAACTCTCACCGGAAACGAGCCCGACTTACTGCCGGCAATGTGGACCAGGCTCTGACATGGGTCATACAGGGACCTAACAGCCCGTATCAAAGGGCCTGGTACCCCGTACACCCAGAGTACCCCCCACAGGGTTCCCCGAGGGACGCGGTCGAACACCTTCTCCAAGTCCACAAAGCACATGTAGACCAGTTGGGCAAACTCCCACGCACCCTCCAGGACCCTGCTGAGAGTGTAGAGCTGGTCCTGTGTTCCACGACCAGGACGAAAACCGCACTGCTCCTCCTGAATCTGAGGTTCGACTATCCGATGGACCCTCCTCTCCAGAACTCCCGAATAGACCTTACCAGGGAGGCTTAAGAGTGTGATCCCCCTATCGTTGGAACACACTCTACGGTACCCCTTTTTGAATAAGGGGACCACCACCCCGTTCTGCCAATCCAGGGGAACTTCCCCCAATGTCCACGCAATATTGCAGAGTCGTATAAGCCAACACAACCCTACAACATCCGGAGCCTTAAGGAACTCCAGGCGAATCTCATCTACCCCTGGGGCCCTGCCACCAAGGAGCATTTTAACCACCTCGTTGACCTCAGCACCAGAGATTGGAGGGCCCGACCCAGAGTCCCCAAGCTCTGCTTCCTCAGTGGAAGATGTGCCAGTGGAGGTCTTCAAAGTATTCCACTAACTGACCCACAACATCCTGAGTTGTGGTCAGCAGCACACCACCCCCACTATAAACAGTGTCTCCCCCTGATACGCCAGATGGTGGACCAGAATCACCTCGAAGCCGTGCAGAAGTCATTCTCCATGGCCTCTCCGAACTCCTCCCATGTCCAAGTTTTTGCCTCAGCGACCATCCGAGTTGCATGTCGCTTGGACCGCCGGCACCCATCAGTTGCTTCCGGGGTGCCACAGGCCAAAAAGGCTCGATAGGACTCCTTCGTCAGCCTGGCAGCATCCCTCACCGCCGGTGTCCACCACCGGGTTCGAGGGTTGCCACCACAACAGGCACCGACAACCTTGCGGCCGCAGCTCCGGTAAGCCGCCTCGACAATAGAGGCACGGAACATGGCCCACTCGGACTCAATGTCCCCTACCTCCCCGGGAACATGTTCAAAGTTCTCCGAGAGGTGGGAGTTAAAGCTCCATCTCACAGGAAACTCTGCCAGACATTCCCAGCAAACCCTCACAATACGTTTGGGCCTGCCAGGTCTGACCGGCATCCTCCCCCACCATCGGAGCCAACTCACCACCAGGTAGTGATCAGTGGACAGCTCCGCCCCTCTCTTCACCCGAGTGTCCAAGACATGTGGCCACAGATCAAATGAGACGACAACAAAGTCGATCATCGAACTGCGGCCTAGGGTGTCCTGGTGCCAAGAGCCCATATGGACACCCTTATGCTTGAACATGATGTTTGCTATGGACAATCCATGATGAACACAGAAGTCCAACAACAGAACACCACTTGGGTTCAGATCAGGGGGGCCGTTCCTCCCAACCACACCCCTCCAGGTCTCACTGTCATTGCCCTAATGAGCATTGAAGTCCCCCAGCAGAACAAGGGAGTCACTAGGAGGTGCACTTTCCAGTACCCCCTCCAAGGACTCCAAAAAGGGTGGATAATCTGAACTGCCGTTTGGTGCATAAGCACAAACGACAGTCAGAACCTGTCTCCCCACACGTAGGCGGAGGGAGGCTACCCTCTCATTCCCGGGGTGAACCACAACACACAGGCACCAAGATGGGGGGCAATAAGTATGCCCACTCCTGCTCGGCACCTCTCACCAGGGGCAAATCCAGAGTGGAAGAGTGTCCAACCCCTCTCAAGGAAACTGGTTCCAGAGCCAGAACCATGTGTAGAGGTGAGTCAGACTATTTCTAGCCGGAACCTCTCAACTTCACACACCAGCTCAGGCTCCTTCCCCACCAGTGAGGTGGCATCCCATGTCCCAATAGCCAGCTTCTGTAGCCGAGGATCAGACCACCAGGGCCCCCGCCCTCGGCCACCACCCATCCCACCCTGGACGGGTCGCAAGTCCATCACAGGGCCACATAGAGACAAACAAGACAAACAAACATTCACTCTCTCACTCACACCTATTTACAATTTAGAGCTACCAATCAGCCTAACATGCATGTTTTTGGTCTGTGGGAGGAAACCGGAGTACCCGGAGAAAACCCACGCATGCACGGAGAGAACATGCAAACTCCATCCAGAAAGGCCCCTCTACCGGGGTTTTAACCAAGGACCTGTTCACTGAGAGGCAGCAGCTCTACCAGTTGTGCCACCATGCTGCCCTTGTTTTACACCAAATGGCCTTATTAATACAAACTGAGCTCGAACCCGCAGCCTCAGGATCATGGGACTGTGGCACTGATCATCGAGCTACCACACCCGCCACACTCCTAAAAGTTTGTACTCTCGTTTGTCTAATTCATAATCAGAAAAAATATGGCCGAATTTTACCACTTGAAAAAATAATTTGACTTTCCTTCTAATCTCCACAACTGACTGCTGTCTGACGAACGAGCAGCTAAAAGCTACTGGTGTAGCTACGCTGGACTGAACCAACTAAAAAGCTGAGGGGAGTGTAGACTGTAGAGATTATTGATAAGGGTTTAGTTTGTAACTCCATCCATCTATCCATCCATCCATCCATCCACTGTTACCCGCTTCTTCCTTTTTAGGGTTGCGGGGTTCACTGGTGTCCAGCAGTCACTGTGCGAGAGGTGAGGTACAACCTGGACAGGTCTCCAGTCCATCACAGGGACACATAGAGACAAACAACCATTCACTTTCTCACTCACACATAGAGACTATTTAGAGTTACCAATCAGTGTAACATGGAAGAACAAAACACACAAGTTTATACCTGCACTTTGAAAAGCAGCTGCTCAGCCTGACGTGACGCTGACACCACACAGGTTTAAATGCACACGACATTGTGTTCTTGAGATTGTTTGTATGCAGGGAGAATGTTGTGATTGCATAATGTGTTTTTAGGAACACCTAGGATTACCATAGTATATCTGATATCTCAATTAATTTCTACTACTCATACCTAAACGTTAAACCCTTTTGTTAACTGCATTAAACAAAACAAAGTAAAAACAAGTTTTCAACTGATGCCAAAGTTTTAGATAATAGATGTCTTAAACCAAACTATTTTACAAAGAATTGTCCACTAGCACAGATGAAGTCAGTTTTTCTCTCAATGTGGAGCATAAAGCAATGAAATGACAGATTAGAAAATGTTCTTATTACATGGTATTAAAATGCTCCATGATAGTTACTGGAAATATTAATAAATGATTTGGTAGCACATGGATAATAAAGTGATGTTGGATAAAACTTTGTCAAACTCAGTTAGCTTCTTTTTCTAATCGGTCTTGAGGAAAAGGTAGAATAAAAAGACGTACCTTTACATTCAGGAGGTTGAGAATCGTATTCCCCAGTTTTACTGCACATGATGCTATCATTGCCACTGAGGGTGTATCCTTCATTGCAGATGTAATTTATGACTTGTTTGTATGTCGGGCTTTCCTCACTTGTCCAAGAGCTTCTGCCGTTGGGCACTTGAGAAGGTTTGCTACACCGAACAACTAAGAAAAATAGGAAGAAAAGAAAAAAAAAATACATCTTTAATTTGTGAATAAATCAGATACTGCTGCTATGATTTTATCTATGACTTGGTTAGAAATACAAAAAAGTTCAGAACACAAGTTGTTTTTAAAAGAATTCAAGCAACATTTTTACTTGACTTTGACTAAAATGAGACATAAAACTGACCGACACTTACCGTAACACTGAGCTGATCCAAACCACCCTGAAGCAAAGCAGTTCTTGTAGCTGGCTCCCGAAATCTGGTAACTGTAACAAAGCAAAGTTGAAGTAAAGCAAAATTTTATTCATTTTTTATATAAACAGAGTATTTGCTAATAAAACTATAAAATAAATGTCCTGATGCATGCTCAATAATCCAGGTAGAAAAATCCAAAAAAGTTCAATCTGGTCCTCTGGACATTCAAAAAAACAAAAAACAAAACAAAGCAAAAAAATCTAGAAACGTTTCGTCTCTCATCCAAGAGACTTCCTCAG